TGGCCTAGCATGTGACCTGTCCTGCAGAAAGTTCCATGTGCATTTTAAAAGAATGTGTTATTTTGCTGCTTTGGATGAAATATCTGTTCTGTAGATAATTATTAAGTCCATCTTGTCTGTCATTTAAGACCACTATTTCCTTACTGGTTTTCTGTCTGGATGACTTATCCACTGATATAAGTAGAGCATTATAGTCCTCTACTATTGCCGTATTGTTGTCAATTCTTTCCTTTATGTCTATTATTATTTTGCTTTATATATTTCGGTACTTGTCTGTTCAGTTCAGTTCCGTCACTCAGTCGTGTCTGGTTCTTTGCGACCCCATGAACTGCAGCACGCCAGGCCTCCCTGTCCATCACCAACTCGCGGAGTCAACCCAAACCCATGTCCATCCAGTCGGTGATGCCATCCAACCATCTCATCCTTTGTCATCCCCTTCTCCTCCTGCCCCCAATCTTTCCCAGCATCAGGGTCTTTTCATATGAGTCAGTTCTCCACATCAGGGGGCCAGAGTATTGGAGTTTCAGCTTCAGCATCAGTCCCTCCAATGAACACCCAGGACTGATCACCTTTAGGATGGACTGGCTGGATCTCCTTGCAGTCCAAGGGACTCTCAAGAGTCTTCTCCAACACCACAGTTCAAAAGCATCAATGCTTCGGCGCTCAGCTTTCTTTATAGTCCAACTCTCACATCCATACGTAACTACAGGGAAAGCCATACCCTTGACTAGACGGACCTTAGTGGACAAAGTAATGTCTCTGCTTTTTAATATGCTGTCTAGGTTGGTCATAACTTTTTTTCCAAGGAGCAAGTGTCTTTTAATTTCTTGGCTGTAATCACCATCTGCAGTGATTTTGGAGCCCTCCCCCCAAAAAGTCTGTCACTGTTTCCCCATCTATTTGCCATGAAGGGATGGGACCAGATGCCATGATCTTAGTTTTCTGAATGTTGAGCTATAAGCCAACGTTTTCACTCTCCTCTTTTACTTTCATCAAGAGGCTCTTTAGTTCTTCTTCACTTTCTGCCATAAGGGTGGTGTCATATGCATATCTGAGGTTACTAATATTTCTCCTGGCAATCTTGATTCCAGCTTGTGCTTCTTCCAGCCCAGTGTTCCTCATGATGTATTCTGCATATAAGTTAAATAAACAGGGTGACAAAATACAACCTTGATGTACTCCTTTTCCTATTTGGAATCAGTCTGTTGTTCCATGTCCAGTTCTAATTGTTGCTTTTTGACCTGTATATAGGTTTCTCAGGAGGCAGGTCAGATGGTCTGGTATTCCCATCTGTTTCAGAATTTTCCACAGTTTATTGTGATCCACACAGTCAAAGGCTTTGGCATAGTCAGTAAAACAGAAATAGATGTTTTTCTGGAACTCTTTTGCTTTTTCAATGATCTAGTGGATGTTGGCAATTTGATCTCTGGTTCCTTTGCCTTTCCTAAAACCATCTTGACCATCTGGGAGTTCATGGTTCAGGTATTGCTGAAGCCTGGCTTGGAGAATTTTGAGCATTACTTTAATAGTGTGTGAGATGAGTGCAATTGTATGGTAGTTTGAGCATTCTTTGGCATTACCTTTCTTTGGGATTGGAATGAAAACTGACCTTTTCTAGTCCTGTGGCCACTGCTGAGTTTTCCAAATGTGCTGGCATATTGAGTGCAGCATTTTCACAGCATTATCTTTGAGGATTTGAGATGGCTCAACTGGAATTCCATCACCTCCACTAGTTTTGTTCATAGTGATGCTTCCTAAGGCCCACTTGACTTCACATTCCAGGATGTGTGGCTCTAGGTGAGTGATCACACCATAGTGATTATCTGGGTTGTGAAGATCTTTTTTGTATAGTTCTTCTGTGTATTCTTGCCATCTCTTCTTAATATCTTCTGCTTCTGTTAGGTCCATACCATTCCTCTCCTTTATTGAGCCCATCTTTGCATGAAATGTTCCCTTGGTATTTCTAATTTTCTTGAAGAGATTTCTGTTAAGTGCATATATGTTTATAAATGTTATGTCTGTTTCTTGGATTGACCCTTTTATTATTATATGATATCCTATTTGTCTTTTGTTGTAGATTTTGTTTTAAATTCTGTTGTCTGGTGTGAACATTGCTACCCCATAAGCCATTATTCTTAAGGTTGTACTGAGGTATCATTAGCGCCGTCCTTTCCAGTTTATTTTGATGTCTTCGTCAGGTGAAACTGCTATAAAAAACACTATAGACTGGTTGACTTAAGTATCTGAATTTATTACTCAAAGTTCTAGAGTTTGATAATCCAGGATCAAGGTGTAAACAGATCATTTCCTGTTGAGGACTCTTTCCTGGCTTGCAGACAGCCACCTTCTTGCTTTGTCAGGGTTGAGAGTCAGCGAGAGCTCTGTTCCCTCTTCCTTTTTTAAATGAGGACAGTAATGCCAGCATGTGGGCCCGCCCTCAGTAAATGTCATTGTCACAGCAGGCCCACCGCGCGTTAGTGCTCAGGACACACAGTGTGGAGGGGCAGAGACCTTCGGCCCATAACGCTGCTTCGTCCTGCGCCTTCTCTGTCTCTACCTGAGGAGGGGCAGGCTGTTTGTTTGCTTTCATTATGAGCATTACTTATTGTAAGTGATTCTGACATCAAAGAAGAACACAAAGTGACAACTAAAAGTTCTTTCTCTCTTTAATCTTTAGTCATTTCACTCCTTACAGTAACTAATGTTTATCTTCCAGAACATATAAAAAATTATTGTCAGTATATATGGCATATGTGACTTGATTTTTTTGCATTTAGATCTCCAGTCCATCTGGATTTGTGTGTGTATGTGTGTTTAGTGTAAATCAATCAGGGATCTCTATTTCCAAATATTTAGCTCCTGTCCTTTCAGCATGTCTTCACTAATTCATTATTTACACTCATAGAACATGTTACATACCATATGCCATCATATATGTTGATCTGTTTACACACTCTTAAGTTGCTTTACGATCCTGAGCTTTGTATTGCTGTCACTTTGGTATCAGCCCCCTTACTGTGCGGTGGGGTGGGTGCTGTGGTTCTCAGTGCAGTTGCGTTGAGTTTGTGTGCTGATGTGGGGAGGTGTGCTGTCTGTGCAGCGCTGCACTTTCCTCCTCATGAAGGTGACACGCCTTCCAGTCAGCTGCTCATGTCTGCAGGTTCTTTACAGCATTATTTAAGTAGTTTAAATATTAATATTTTATGAATACTGTTTTTTTTCTACAGTAAATTTGTAAAGATTATCGCATATTATAACATGTTGAATATATATTTTGTATACAGTTTGCATTCTTTACAAGCAGCCATGTTATTTGTTCTAACAGTGGTTTCCTTGACCTTCTTCGGTTTATCTAGTAATAGATTTTCGAGATAATTTCATATTATCTTTTTTTATTCATCCCTGTTTCCTTTTCTTGTTTCATTGCATGAGAATTTCCATTGTAAGTTGAATGATGATGATAGTGTACCATCTTGTCTTCATCGTTCCTTAATAACGTGGCCCCCCTGTTAATTTTAGCATTGTGATGTCCATTGATTTAGAAGAATGTATTATTAAGAATTCTTTTTTCAATTGTTACTTATTAAAAATCCAGATAATGAATGTTACATTCTCTTAAATATCCTTTTGGCTTCCAATGAGAAAGCCATGCGACCTTTCATTGTGATGAATAGTCTAAAAAATCCTTACATTTTGAATATCCTGCTTAGTCATTGTGTCTTTTTCTTTAAATACAGAGCTATGTGTTATTTCATAATATTATATGAAATTTTTAATATTTATGAATTGCTTTTTCATTTGTGTATCTTCAGGTTTAGTATTAGGCTTATGATAGCTTGCTAAAGTACATTTGAATGCTTTCATGTTTTATACTAATTACATTAAATTTTAAAAGCGTTGTGATTATCATATGGTTGAAAGTACATTTTTTGGACTTGATTTTTTTTTTTTTTGGGTGGAGTGGTTAAAAAAAAGACAACTTTTCTTCCATAGGTGTTAAGTATGATCAGTGTGGATTTTCAGTCCTTTCCTGTAATATCCTCAGTCATCTCTTGGATAGGAAAGTTAACTCTCTTATCTATTTAATGTATTCATTTATGGTTTTTTTTTCTTCATGCAAAAGTTCATGGAAATAATATTGTATTAAGTTTTTATTGTTGTATAGAGTTGTTTGAACATGTTTAAACGTTTTTCTTAATCATCTTTTAAATGATACACCCCATGTATTTGCTATATATGTTCTAATATACTTGTTAGTGAAGAGTGTCTTGCTTGAATTTAGTATTAATGAGTATTAGTCCTATGTTCCGTAAAATGTATTTGGCCCATTGCTTTTAGGAAGGAATCAGTATCATAAGGGTGAAGTTTGATGATTTTATTTTAACTTTTGTTTGTATGTTTTCTTCATCTATGAGATAGAAAGTTTTGATTTCATGTTTATATGTGTTTTTTTGACTTATGTTTTCTGGCAGTTGATCTGTCTTTACCAATGTGTTCTATACAGATTTTTGGTAGAGAAACCCTCTGAAGGAAGACACTTTAGGATTTGGTTATCTGTTACTGAGTAACAAAATATCCTAAAGTTTAGTAGTTTTAAAACAGCACACTTTTATTATATGTCAGTTTCTTTGGGTCAGGAATCCAGGCGTGACTCAGCTGAGTTCTTTGTTTCAGAGTCTCTCACTAGGCCATAGTCAGGGTGTCAGCTGGGGCTGGGACCTTACCTAGTGGCTTGATGGGGGAAGGACCTCCTTTTAAGCTTACTGTTGGCCCGGTGTAGTGCTTTATCCACTGCAACACATAGTGGTGATTATTTGATTCATTTAAGAATCATGCTTTGGGCCTTAAATCCAGCCCTGAAAACATCTAACTCCTTTCAGTTCTTCCTGTTTGCTCGTCATTAGTGTCTGTGTGTGGGAAACAGGGAGGGAGGGAATTTGATCATATATCAGCATAACTTAGGTTCATTTTTAAGAACTATGCTTTTCTTTTTTCCTCAGGTGCCTTAGCTGGACCGATTATTGTGGAGCCACAGGTTACAGCAGTGTGGGGAAAGAATGTTTCGTTGAAGTGCTTAATTGAAGTAAATGAAACTATAACACAAATTTCATGGGAGAAGATACATGGCAAAAGTTCACAGACTGTTGCAGTTCATCATCCTCAACATGGATTCTCTGTCCAAGGAGAATATCAGGGAAGAGTCTTGTTTAAAAACTATTCAATTAATGACGCAACAATCACCCTGCATAACATAGGGTTCTCTGATTCGGGAAAGTACGTATGCAAAGCTGTCACATTCCCGCTGGGAAACGCTGAGTCCTCTACAACTGTGACTGTGCTAGGTATGTGCGCTTGGGTTGCGTGTTTTGGTGGTAGTGGTGACGATTATAGTAAAAATATTTTCAAAAACTTAAACTGATTGAAATTACATATAAATGTAGATTTAAAATGAAAGAATTCAAATATGATTTTTCAGTTTCTGTCATAAAACTCTATGATTCTAGACTCTGTTTAAACAAAATCTTGTCCATATCTACCTGTCTGTATAATGCTGTGTAGTTCATAGCTATTTTACTTTGTTCATGAAAGATTGTTTTTTTACTTATAATACTAAGTGCTAATATTCTTTGATGTTTATTTTATTTCCCCTCAAACTTCAACCTTTAGTTAAATTACCATCTTTAAATAAGCTTTTCCATTTTTTTAAATGACTGTGGTCTTAGAGCCATTGATGTCTTACGTTTGTTTTTCAAATCAGATTTTTATTTCTACTGTTGTGGATTTGCATAGCTATTTGAATCATGGGCTGTTGCTTCCATTGATGGATCTTCTGCCTTTTACTATCTGATAACTATTAAAATTATGTTGAACTTTAGAGAGAGCTTATTAGCTTTAAAATAGCCACCTGCAGTGAAAGGTAAACCAATCTGGAACAGCTGGTGAGTACTCACAGACTACTAGTTTGAGGACCAAGCACTAGTAGCAACCTTAGCCATTTCCCCCCAGAGTGGAGCCCCTTTAATGGGGGGGTCTTTGCCCCAAATCCAGCTGTCTGCCTGTCAGGGCTTCTGTCAGGTCACTGGTGGCTTTCCCTGGTCCCTCCTCTCTCTTCTCCAGGATGCTGACCCTTTATAGACTTTCTGCACTCCTTACTCATCTCACTGTCTGCTTCAGGAGAACCAAACAGTTACACAGCCTCTAATATTTAATGGTATGATTTCAGGATCCCTGAAGTTCAGGGAAGAAATTTTGTCCAAATTTGTTATATATTTTTTCATGTTGAGAAAAACTATTTAAAAACAGAAATAAAATTAAATATTTGAAGACTTTGTGTTTAAGACCCTGTCCTAAGGGCTGTGGAGAAAATATAACTTAGGTTCACAAAATTGATACTTTTGAAAACTGTTTTGATTGGAAAACAAGGTATTGATATCTAAAAAATCAAGTGCAAGCCATCGGGGTAAAAACTTTAAAAAAGTAAATGTCAAGAAAAAAAACTTGTATGTAGAAGAGAGAACTCATGAGAGTAAGATTTTTTGCTTTAAATTTTAGTAACCCTTCCTAAATTAATAAGCATTTAGTGGTTTAAAACTCAGGATTGTTTATAGGATAAGACCAGTCGTGATTTTACCTGTGTCTGCTTCCCTACTTTCATCTGTCCCATTCCGTGCTCTGCTTCTCCCAGCAGCCTGAATTTTATAATCTTATGAACTGTTTGTGGTATGTTAACGCCTGTGTTTTTTACGTATGTTTGTTACGCCTCTCTTCCCAGGAGATCGCCACCTTTCCCCTTGTGTCTGTCTCTCCCTCCATGTCTTCTATTTAACCGCTACTCATCACACCACATCCTTTTGGTAGCCATTTTAAACATATCTAGCCCTCCGCTGCTTGGTGGGGGTTTTATTTTGCTCTTTTGCCATTGTGTCTTGAGCTTGTCTCTGTTGTAGCAGTTCGTTTAGCACTACTGTGTGTCTTTTTCACTATAAACCTGTGGTGGACGGCAGCTGTGCACTTTAAAGTGTGACTTTATGTCCATGAAGCTTGTGAGAGTCTCTGGTGTGCAGCATTAATGCACCAAGTGTTACTTAGGTCAGGTGTGGAAGTAGCTAAATTAACTCCAGTTCAGAAATGTTTTGTTGAAAAATAGTTGAGCTAGTCCTTGAATGGTGGATAGGTTTTAGTAGGCAAAAAGGAAAGAAACAATATGGAGGGGAATAAGTGAGCCAATGCAAGGAAGCAGAAAACAACATATATTAGGGCAGAGTTTCTTCACCATGGCATTGTTGAAGTCTTAGGCTGGAAATTTTTGCTGGGGTAAACTGTCCTGTCCATTATGCACTGTTTGGCAGCCTTCATGCCATCTACCTGTTAGATACTAGGAGCAGTTCCTTAGAAGTTGCGACAAGTTAGAATGTCTCCCAGCATTGCCAAGTGTCCTCTGAGGGACCACTGAATAATCTGTTGATTGTTCAAAGGATTTATATAAAGTCAAGAATTAAAGGCTAGAAATGAAGAGTGGGACCACTTTAAAGTAACTGGAATATCAAGATTGGGAATTTGAGCCTTATATTACTTGAAATGCAAACTGAGCATTCCTCACTTCTCTTATTCTCAGGTTCTTTCTGTTTATTTTATTTTTTATTATTTTTGACTGTACCACCTGACATATGGAATCTTAGTTCTCTGACCAGGAATTGAACCCATGCCTTTAGTGAAAAGCGCATAGCCCTAACCACTGTACTGCCAGGGAAGTACCAGATTCTTGTTGTTTAAAGTGTGGTTCATGCGCCAGCAGCAGTGGTATCACTTGGGAGATTGTGAGAAATACAGAATTCAGATCTTCCCCAGACTTGCTGAATGATAAATCTATTATAGCAAGATCCCAAGTAATTTTTATGCATAGTAGGTAAAGTTTGAAAAACACTACTTTGACCATCTTCTCATCTTCCTTAGAGGGATGTCTAACTCATAGACTTTATTTGTAAGTAATGTGATGAAAGTTCTGATTTAGGAAGATCAGTCAGGTGTTTTTGATGGATTAAAATGAAGAGTCCTGAAGTCATAATTCCTCAGATAGGAGGCCATGAAAGCTTGAAGTTAATTTTCTAATTTATGCCAAGTGAAGAAGGGAGCTATTAGGAAGGAAAAACTAATAGAACTTTGTAACTGACTGTATATAAGAAACCAGGAAGGTTTGAACAGTAACAGGTTTTGAGCCTTAGTGGTTGAGTAAATTATGTTGCCGTTAATTTAAATTGGCATGTCTGAATGAAAATCATGTTGGGGATTGGGAGGATGAGATGATGAATTCAGCCTTTGGCTTACTGAGTTGGAGGATACATAGACAAGTGATACCAAATTTTGTATCAAAAGTGAATAAAATTAGGGATCATTCAGGTAGTAGTGTTTATCAGATAAAAGTTTTTAAGAGACACACAGAAAGTAACTGAAGTTTTATTAGGGCAGGGATTAGAAGAAATAGAGATGAACAGTTCAAAAACATAGCTTTGCAAAAAAAACTGTTAGAGTAATATTATTTATATCAAGAGAAGATAAAGTTTGTAAGATTGCTCTAGCACATTTTTCCCACAGTGAGAATCAAGCCCAACAGAAGTGATTTCAGTGACCCGTTTTTTCCAGTGCTCCTGTGGTTGGCACATACAGCTTCTCAGGTGGCACTCGCAGTGAAGAGCCCACCTGCCAATGCCGCAGACATGAGAGATGCAGGTTCAGTTCCTGGGTTAGAAAGATCCCGTGGAGGAGGGCATGGCAGCCCACTCCAGCGTTCCTGCCTGAAGAATCCCATGGACAGAGGAGCCCGGTGGGCTGCAGTCCATGGGGTCACAGTCGGACACGACCGGCCTAGTGTGCATGGTTGTCACATAGCTGCTACCATTCTAAATGCATACCCTAGAAGTTAACTCATCACTTAGAGCAGATATCTGAAGGCATTAGAACTTAATTCTTTTGGAACTGATTGGGAAGAACTGCACTAAGTATCAGATTCTACCAAGTCAGTCATAGAAAATAGACAAAGAAAAGCATTGAGTGTGTAGATTAGGCAGAGACAGTGACATTGGAGTCTCAGAGGAGTGGTAGTGAGACAGCTGAATTAAGGGACTGTAGTATAGCAAAACACTTTCGGGAAAATTGAACAACAAATGTCCCATAGCAGAAGAGTTGTTGTATAATTGATGGCTTCTTCTTGATGTATGAGATATCATATAGTTACTAAAATTGTAGTTAAGAGAAGTATTCCTGCTTGAAAATAAAATGAGCCACAAAATTGTAGGAATGCCATGATTACATTTATATAGACACTGGAAACAAAAATAAAGAGAAAGAAGTGAAGTATATGATAATGACTATATGATTATATCAAAGAAGGCAATGGCACCCCACTCTAGTACTCTTCTCGGATGGAGGAGCCTGGTAGGCTGCAGTCCATGGGGTCCCTAAGAGTCAGACACAACTCTTAAGAGATGGATTGGACAGATGTTTAGAATTTGTGGAGCAGAAAGAAAGAAGGGAGTATCCGAGAGAAAGAATGTGTGCTTTAGAGACCTACAGAAGGGCCCTCTGAAGTCTTTGGTTTAGAACTTACTGTGTACACGTGGAAGACACTTTGGAGGTGGAGGAAAGAACCAACAGAAAGAAGTGGTCTTCACAATCCTGGTGTTAATACAGGGCTGGGAAAATGCCGCATTCCTCCAGATCAGAGTGCAGAGGGTCCTGGGTAGGAGAGGGAGCAGCAGCAAAACCTCTCGGGACGAAGTGCAGAGAAGTTAGCTAAACGCTGGGGAATATGAGAAAAGTAACTTTAGAAAGCCAGTGTGGTCTGCACCCAGGGGTTTGATTCCCTTCAGAAGAAACAGAAATAATATAATTTAAAATTAACTTTAAAATAATTTTTAAATTTCCTCAAGGATAAAAACCTCTATTGACGGCACAGGTTATTCACACCGACTCTGCCATGGTTGGGGGATGGACAGGTGAAATATTAAAAACCATTGAGAACTTCAAAGAAATAACAACATAGTAAGGAATACACACTAAAATCTAAGAAAAGGTAGAAATATAGAAATAAACCTAGCTCTGAAAGCTGAAATCTGTATTCAACCTTGGGGACATTCAGCAATTCATTAGAGATACCTAAGATGATGAGCTAAGATTTTGAGATCCTTGAGAAGTGAGAGAGACAAATATCTAAATGTAAGTCTGCTCGAGATGGGATGTCTAGTAACCTTTCTTATATTCTCCTGGTACCCAGCACCTTAACATTTTCAGAAGAGTGGTTCACCCACAGCAAACCAGCCTTATTACAGACTTTGAGGCTTGGTTTATATCACTTGAGTAATCTGAAATTGAGGTCCTGGGCTGGATAGTGTTCCTAGAAGCTAGCTTAGCAGAAGAAAAGAAAGATCTTTTCTGGAAGAAAGGTACTATATTTTAAGCCTCAAATTATTTCTACCTTAATTATTCAAATTCAAGCATCTGCTTGAATGACCAGGCATACAAGTAAAGAAGACCCAGAAGCAGCCAGTACAAACAAGAAGAGAAATAGACCTGTGTAAGATGTTGGAATTATCTGACCTAGACTATTAAACAGCAGTGCTTACCATTTGAAGGGATAAGAAATTCAATAAATTATTGAATTTCTACAGTGAACAGGAAACTATCAGTCGTGTCCATCTCTATGCCCCCGTGGACTCTAGAGCCTGCCAGGCTCCTCTGTCCATGGGGTTCTCCAAGCAAGAAACCTGGAGAATTCCCTTCTCCATCCAGAGACTGAACCCAGGTCTTCACTGCAGGCAGATTCTTTACCATCTGAGCCACCGGCAAAGCCCACGTGTGTGTGTGTGTGTGTGTGTGTGTGTGTGTGTGTAATGTTTATGTATGTATATAATGTATATGTATATATAATATGTATACGTGTGTGTGTGTATATTTATTTCACACAGTAATTGTAAATATCACAGTAAGACAGTCACATGAATTTTTTGGATTCACACTGTTATTAAGATTATGTTTATACTACACTGTAGTCTGTTAAGCGTGCAATAGCATTGTCTTAGCAACATATATATTTTAGCTAAAAAATCATTGTATTGCTAAAAAATACTTACCATCATCTGAGTCTTCAGCCAGTTTTAATGTTTTTACAGTAGTAACATCTGAGATTGCAGATCATCATAACAAATATAATAATGAAAAAGCTTGGAATATTGTGAGAATTACCAAAATGTGACAAAGATAGGAAGTGAGCAAATGCTGTTGGAAAAGTGATGCTAATAGATTTGCTCAATACAGGGTTACCAGAAGCCTTTAGTTTGTGAATAATGCAGTATCTGTGAAGCACAATGAACTGAGGTGTGCCTGTATATAAAAAAGTTAACTGAAGAATTTTATACATTTGAATTAAAAACTTCTGCTCATCAAAACACTATAAAGAGAGAAGCCCTAAATGGTAGAAGATATTGCACATATAATCAGAAATGGACTCTCCCCAATCAGTAAGAAAAAAAAAAAAGGACTTTAATAGGTATTTTCAGAAAAACCCCAGATGGCTCATGAATAAGACAAGATTCTTAATGTCATTTATAATCTGAGAAATTAAAATCAGGGCCTCTATTATATGCTGTTATACATTTACAGGCTTGTCAGACACTGAGAAGTCTGACAGTGTGAACTGCAGTGGGTGTGTTGGGACCAACCGGAGTGCTAAGGCTGAGAGTAAGTTGGTACTCTGGAAAGCTTTTTGGGCTTACTTGGTAAAGTTGGAAATAAACATAAAAGCAAGAGGAAAACTAGAGAGACTTTTTTTACACATATACCAAGATACATGAGTGAAAATGTCTTTTAAAAAATCATTTTTTTCCAAAGAGGAAACCACCAATATTCAACAGTAAATGAACCATACAGTAGTTAAGACTAACCATAAGTAGTTAACCATACAGTAGTTAAGTACATAAGTAGTTAAGTAGTTATAATGTATACAATTGTATGCAGATCTAAATGATCTAAAAGTAAAACAAAGAATTGTAAAATAATAATTGAAGGCTAAATGATCCTACATGAATAAATCTCAGGAACAGAAAATTGAGACAAAAATATATTTTAAAAATGAGCCAATTAAAAATTTTGGAAATGAAAAAAGTCTTTCAGATTAAAAACTTAATGGACACAGTAAACTACAGGCTGGAGCCAAAGAACACAAAGTGAGTACTAAGGGATTTATACAGAAAGGAGCATATGAAATTTACTGGAAAATCTGCAGAGATTGCTAGCATGCATGTGGAGGGTAGATTAACAGGGTCGACCACTAAGGTTACTTCCCCTGCGGAGGGTCTTTCTTACATCAGATAAAGGTAGGTAGCAAGTACGTTTCAGTAAGCACAACTGTTAATGACACTATATTTTAACAGTTGTAATTTAAATATAAACATTTTTGCCACAACTTGAAGCATTATATATTAAAACTGCGTTTTTATTTTCCATTTCAGAATAATAGTACCTTTAATCTCCTAATGGAAATTATGATCAAATTCGCAGATTTTTTTTTATATGTTAACTTTGGAAGAAACTCATTTGTCCCTATAGAAAAAGGTGTGTCTCTATCAGGGCAGGGGAACCATCTTTGTGATGGTTATATGAAGTCTTGCTTCTAGATTGGCCTGACCCAATCTTCTCTGGTTCTAAGAATCCATTTGGTGTTGGCATTGTGTGTGTGTATTTTACATTCAGTTGTCCCTAAGTTTATGAAATGTGGCTAGATGTGGCTTGGAAGGAGTAAATATGCTCTTAATTGAAATGTAACTAATTTTTTAAAATTTAAACAGTTGAACCTACTGTGAGCCTGATAAAAGGGCCAGATTCTTTAATTGATGGAGGAAATGAAACAGTAGCAGCCATTTGTATCGCAGCCACTGGAAAACCAGTTGCACATATTGATTGGGAAGGTGATCTTGGAGAAATGGAATCCACCACAACTTCTTTTCCAAATGAAACAGCAACAATTGTCAGCCAATACAAGCTTTTTCCTACCAGATTTGCCAAAGGAAGGAGAATTACTTGCGTTGTAAAACATCCAGCCTTGGAAAAGGACATCCGATATTCCGTCATATTAGATATACAGTGTAAGTAAATGATAATCTTTGCTTTTTAAGCATTATGTGTTTTAATATTATTCCTCTAACATAATTCTGTATCAAATTATATTTAGTTTGTATATGTAGTATCCGTATATTGTTGTAGATTTTCCTTGTTGACGGTTTTTCTTAATTAAAGAAAATATTTTCTTGGAAACTTCATTTAACCAGAACATTATTGTTAGTTTGTAAAGGCAATGATTAAAGTTGCTGTCTCACTTTAAATTATTTAGCCTTGTCTTTTTTGGACCTTAAAAATAGGCTAGACTTAGGTGAATTGTGGAAATTTGTACCTCAGAATGTTCAGTACTTGGAGAAAAACATCTGCTTCTCCAATCCAGTTAATTTAGCTGTTGTTCATTTTTATGAGTGCTACCCATGATATTTTCAGTAAGAATCTTTAATTTGCTAGATGTATTTTAATTAGCTGGAAAATTTTTTCCTTCAATATTATTTGTGGTCACATTTTGTTGATGACATTCTAAGATCCTCATAAAGGTAAAACAGTAAAGTGATCACTGGGATAATAGATAAAGTTCAAAGTGGGCCCATCGTGTGCTGCTTTTCCCTTAATAGATGCTCTCTTGTGTGTGTGTTTGTGTGGAGAGATAAATATGTGTGTGTGGGTATCATATGTATGTGATACATATGTGTATATAGTTCCCCTTTTTATAAAGTTTCTCACTTTTTATATAGTCTTTGTGTATCATTTTAAAATTTGAGCAAGAGAAATGCAGATAGCTTATAGTAAAGATGATGAAAGTTAAGTAGGTTAAAGATAAAATTATGAAAAGTCTCTGGGTTCTTGTGTCATTTCCATCCATGCACAGATCATAAATCTAGATAGGTTTTTGAAGGAGATGTTCTGTTTTTTGTTGTTTTGTTTTTTTGATATGACATGCATGGAATTTTAATTTACACATATTCGTTACACTTGGTATGATTGTTTTGAAAACTAATTATAAGGATCTTTTTCAACATTTATAGAGTTAAACTTGAGAAGCTGTCTTATGTGGATTTTATTACTATTGTATTCTTGAGTGCAAATACAGTCCTAGTAGTAGTCCCTTCTCGTAATTTGTCAGTATCCATGAAGGGTTGGTTACAAGACTCCTGCTTATACCAAAATCCAGGCATGCTCCAATCCTTTATATAAAATGGCATATATTTGCATATAACCTACACACATCCTCCTGTGTTCTTTAAATCATCTATAGATTGCTTATAATACATACTACAATGTAAATGTTATATAAATAGCTTTAAATTTAATGTAAATACTATGGAAATAATTGCTGATATGCAGCAAATTCAAGTTTTGATTTTTATACTTTTCTAGAATTTTTTTTTCCTGAATATTTTTCATGCACGGTTGATTGAATCCACAGAAGCTGAACCCATAAAGATGGCTGGCTGTACCTTCTTTTCTCCTCATTTTTCTGTCTTGTACATACTCTTAAATTTTTCTTTTTTCTTATAAAATTTAGATTCAGTTATAAGTCCATTAATATTTTTCTCATATGTATTTTCTCTTCCCTGTGTCTGATAATGACTGAAATTTTCATCGATTGTGTATACTATTATTTTTTGTTTGCCTAAACACAATTTTAAAATATAAAAATATTTCTCCTGATGTAAGACTTTATAATTACGGCTTAGACTTACTGGCCTATACCTAAAATATTCTTTCTTGCTGTTGTTAATTAGGCCCTAAAAAACATGTAAACAAAGTTTGAGGAGATAAAATCTTATATGCAAAATGCATTATCTCAAAATTTAGAGGTATTCTTTCAGGATACTTTAATATCTATCTTATCCTCTGTTGAAAATAAACACACAGATATCTGTACTGTTCTTTCAGCAACATTAATTATTACCAATTTTAAGTTAGAAAAAAATGTTAATTCTTGGTATTTGTGAGGTAGGCCTTTTAAAATTATTAAGGTGCTTGTACCTTAGTAGAAGAAGTTTAACTTTTCCCCACTGTTTTTTGTAAACCTTCCTTGACTTCAGGCTTCCCTGCATAGTTAGAAGACTGACCTGGTCTCTCTCACATCCCATCTGGCCTGCTGTTTATCTAGTTTACCTGTGTAGCTCACAGAAGGGGTGAGGGTCTCTGCACCAAACTTAAGTGTCACTTCTTTACCTTCTTTCTTATCATTCTATATTTTTCATTGTTAGTCCTCATAACAGATTTTTGTTAAATTTTTTAAAATGTTATCTTCCCTGTTACTGTTAGAATATAAGTATTATAAATACAGAATATCGATACTAAATATCTAAAACAGTGCCTGTCACTTAATAGGAGCTAAACGAATGATGGTTCAGTGAATGATTAGTATTGGAATCCACAGTTTGAAAGTATACATTTATATTGATGTTAGATGTTGATAATTACTCGTTTAGTTATATAGTACATATGCTAAAGACCTTTAGGTACTTTGAATGGATAAAAGTTCATGTTTTGGAACAGTTGAGCCTCAGAAAATTTACTTTAGTTGTAATTATAGTCTTAAAAAGTTTGTCATATCTCTCATGCCCAGAGGATATTAATTAAGTGTATGATATTAATTATATTAATTATAATATAATTTATTTTAATATTAATATATTAATTTAAACATATTAACTGTAATATAACACTTATTAATTAAATGCATGAATTTTATAATTTTTTATAATTGATCTTAGGGCAGTTTTATGTAGTGGCTTTGTGTTTAAATGCCATGTCTCATTATCAAATTACTGTATTTTCTTTTTCATATACTTCTGCATCATAATAGGACTCATATTTTGCTTTTGGTGATTGTAAGCTTGTGAATGTTCTTCCATTGTGTCCAAAATAACTAGCTTTGTACATGCATGTGGCTGTCTAGTGTTTGGTGCTCATCGTCCACCATCCATTCGTTCGTTTAGTTAAATACCCAGAGTTTATGGAGTTTGCTGTTGTTCAGTTGCTGAGTCGTGTGCGACTCTTTGCAACCCCATGGACTGTAGCCTGCTGGGCTCCTCTGTCCATGAGGTAGGTTTTCCAGGCAAAAACACCGGAGTGGGTTGCATTCCTTCCCCAGGGGGTCTTCCCGATCCAGTGATGGAGCCCACGTCTCCTGCTTGAAGGCGGGCTCTTCACCACTGAGCCAGCTGGGGCTGAGCACCACCCTCCTTACTTCTTGCGTGTGTGAGAGGAGGGGAGCAAACAGCTCCTCCAGCTGTAAAGTTGTTAACACTTTATCACTGCATTGCATCTGTTGGTAACAAAAGATAATCTGCTGTGTAATGCTTTTATTTCATAGATGCTCCTGAGGTTTCAGTAACAGGCTATGATGGAAACTGGTTCGTAGGAAGAAAAGGTGTTAATCTCAAATGTAATGCTGATGCAAATCCACCACCCTTCAAATCTGTGTGGAGCAGGTAATAATGTTGATAGTTCTGAAGAGGAATTATTTAAAAGTCAAAAGTGTTCTTCTGTGCATATTTGAAGTTGTTTCTATCAGTGTAATACATGATGACAGTAATAGCTGGAAATTAAGGGTTTCTGCGTGTTTTTCTGTCTCACCTCTCCCCACCTTCCAGTCCCCTCAGTTCTGTTTCTCAGGGGCTACCTTGGCAACTTTACTAATTCCTCCTGGCATTTATCATCATAGGTCTTAAACTTACTTCCTAAACTACTAATTTTTAACACTTGACTTATTATGAAAATGGAAATTTAGTTTTATCTCTACCTCTTCACAAACACACCATATACATATTCCTGCCCTTTGTCATCTCAGTGACGTTAAGCAGCCTTTCAATTGTGTAATCATTGCCTCTCTATAATAAATAAAATTATTTACTGAGAACTAAGTAGTATACTAGAATTCTGTTTTCTTTTATTTTTTAAAACTGTTTGTTTTTCCTGAGGTTAATAATTCCTTCTTTTTACTTGTGTAGTTTTTACTGACAAGCCTTAATTCTCTTTATTGGTGAAATTTCAGACTGTTCTGCTGAGATTTCATTCTTATTTCTCAGTATTTGCAACTTCTACCCCCTCCAACCTCACCTTTTCACTCTAGAGAATTTTATCTGTTAACCTGTGAATTCTCTCTTTTCTTTTCTCTATTTTTTTTTCTCCTTTGTTTTTTTGGTCATTTCCCCTACTTTTTTTTTTTTTCTTTTCTGTTTGCTCATACTAGAATTCCTGTTTATTGTATACTAAACATTCTTTCTTCTTCAGTTTTCAAATAATTTTTGTTGTTCTCCCAAGATTTCTTTGATTTTTTCCCCACCATTGATTGGAAATTTTCTTTTGAGATATTTCCAGTGTTTCTGAGAGTGTTTTCTTATTCTTTGTTCTTTTTCATAGCATCCTTTTCGTCTTTTATGGACGTGTCTTCTTGTTTCTAAATTGGGATACTAAAGTTATTTCCTTGGCAGAGTTTTTCTGTTTCCTGCTTACTGTTTCTTTTTTCTTCCAGGTTCTTTTGTTGTTGTTTGGTCTTTTATTTTGTAGATATTTCTTGATTTTCTCAGTTGTCCATTCATTTCACAGTGATGCATTAAAATGCTGAGTGGAAACTCTCTGTAGTGGGGAGTACTTAATGGGTAGGTTCTACTATAGAGGAGGTTATTTCCCTGGAGAAGCTTTAGATACCACTTATTGAAGAGTGGAGTTCTTTTTTTCATGAATTAACCTTCATTATTTTGCCTAAAGCATTGGTGTCTGTGCAGAGCTGAGTGGAATCTGTTGTTTTGTTTCTTCAACTTTCAACTCATCTATTTTTAGCCCTCTGCCTGACTGGCCTTCTGCAGGACAGTGGGTCAGACTTTGGATCTTTGGCTTCTTTGGTCCAAGTTGGCTGCTTTCTTATTCCTGTGCCCCCTTCAAGGACTTCTTCAGCCAACAGCAGAGCTTTTCAACCTTGGCACTGCTGACATTTTGGGCTCGATAAATCTTTGTTGTTGGAGGCAGTCTTGTGAACTCTAGGATATTTTAGTAGCATCCCTGGCCTTGCTTCTCTAGAGTCAGTAGCATACACCTACTCGCAGCTGTGGCCACCAAAACTGTTTCAAGGCATACAAGATATGTCCCCTGGAGACAGAATTACTTCTGTCATTTTTGTCTGTCTTGTCTGGGGAGCACTGGCCTCATGCATCTGTTGTTTTCCCTGTCTGTTTTCTGTCTTGTTAAAGTTTGTTGACACGTCTTGTGCAGTGAGTTCTGCCTCCTTTTCTCTTTCTCCTTGTTGGTCTTTAGTAGTTCTTCATTCCTTTGCTCCTGTTTTAGATGGTGTTTTGTGGGATCAGAGAAAGAATGTTTGGTTAACCTGTTGTCTTTCAGCAAAGATAAATTTTTAAAGTAGTGAAGGCCTCCATTTACATTTTCTTCAAGGTGCGAAGCAGGCATTGGTTAAGATGTGTGATAGGGCGTATCTGAAAATCATACACTTCTGAGTCCTCATTCTGGTGTCTGTACTTGGAGCAGGCTTCTGAGTAAATCATTTAGCCTTTCTAAGCCTTTGTTTCCTCATTGAAAACAGTGCTCTATAGAGTTTTTGTGAGAGTAAAGCTGATGGACCGAAACCATGCAGTGTAGGTACAGAGCCTGTAAGGTGTTTGGCGTGCCCTTTGTTGTGAGTTTAATATGGCATTTATATTTTTCTAGCTTATTTGAATAAACACCTTTAAAGGATTATAAGCCACTTTTATATTTCTCAGAGTTAAAGGGATTAGAATTTAAGGCCCAGAGTACAGAGCTAATTGGTAAGATACATAGACTTCATATTCATTCTTGTACTTCCAGAAAAAGAGTTAACCTTTTGAAAGCTGATGTTTGTAAAAGTGTTCTTTCCAAAGTACTCTTAAGAAGAAGATATGAAGTTTTTGTTCTTTAAATAATTTAAGAATATTACCTTTACCCTTCAATGCTAAATTAAGTCATAGCACCTCTAAAAGGTTCTATTGGTGGTTTGGATCACAGAACAGAATCCTGTCTCTAGTGCTGATTCGTTTCACTGTGCCTGTCCATTGCTCTTCGTTCTTACTCCCTTTGTAATTAGTTGGTCTGCTCATGTGCTCAGGCCACTGAAAACAGGGACCACATCTTCCTCACTTGTGCATATCAGCAGCACTAGCAGAGAAGAGTGTGGTAAATGGTTCAGTTCTTAATAATTAAATAATGGATGACTGACTGTATGAGTGAATGAACTTTTTGAAAATCTACTTAACTCGAACTATACTACTAGTTGAGTACCTGGGTTTATTTCACTTTTATCCTCTTATCTTAATAAAAATAATTTATGGGCTGTAAAAACACTTTCAAAATAACGACTTAATTGGTTCCTCCTCCCTCCATGTGGGATATACCCTAACATGGAAAAATGATGTAAAACAGTATACATTTAGTTCCATTGCAATGAATAGCTTTAGAGTTCTTACAGTGAAATTTTATTCCTATTATACTTTATAGAGCAATGTGTACACCAGATAGAACCTTTTAGCCTAATTAGTATAAAAATCGTTTTAAAAGAGTCATTACTGACAGCACAGGGGCCTTGGTGTTGACTGTCACAGATGCCTACTTTATGAGTGAAAGTGTTTTGTAAGAAGACCCTTGTTGGTGCTTTAGAAGTTAACCATATTTGGAGTACAGTGCAGTATAAATTTATTTGCTCAATATTAAATGTTACTCTTTAAATATGTTACAGAAGGTGCTAAAATACTATCATGTGCTAAAGTGATGACTTTCACTATGAAAATTGTAGATACATCATGTATGGATTCATAATTCATTGAGAATTGTTGTAATTCTTTTAAGACTATGGGTATGTTTTTAAATACTTCCAATTTTCCAGTTTTCTGAATATAATTCTTTAAAAGTAAATAATTTTTCTCTCCCCTTCTCTCCTATTCCCTCTGTTAGCCTAGCTTCGCTTATATGAATTGATATTTTAAAAGAATGGGTGTTCTAAATGGGTGTTCTTTATCTGTTGGTTCATCTCTACTAAAATGAAATTTCATAACTTACATGCTTTTATTTCATAGTGAATTTTACCTAAAGGATGCTGATTCTTTCTCTAACAACTGGAAAGTGTAATATCTTACTTAAATAGTTGTCAGTGAATAGAATCTGAAGGTATTTAATTTCATGCTTTTTAAAATCTAGGTTAGATGGACAGTGGCCTGATGGTTTATTGGCTTCAGACAATACTCTTCATTTTGTCCATCCACTGACTTTCAATTATTCTGGTGTTTATGTCTGTAAAGTGACCAATTCGCTTGGCCAAAGAAGTGATCAAAAGGTCATCTATATTTCAGGTAAGTTACTATCTACTCACAAAATGAGTTATGTAGATTATTTCTATAACAACAGTAATAACAATAACACTGTGATGGAGGCAGTAATTTGTACTTGTGAAGATACATATTCCTCAGTGTGAGTTTTTCCAAATAATCTAAAAGAGATGTGATAAAATAACTCTACCTGAAATTCATATATAAAGTAGCTTTCCATGACTTAAAAATTGTCAAAATGTCTATACAGTAAGTTCATATACATTTTAAGACCTGTGCATATAGCTGATTTTTCAGTTATAATATTACATATAGTCTGTACCTTTCTAGATTCTTTTGTATTTATACAAAAAATAAATAGTGGATTTTTTGTTTGCTTTTGGCAGCTATTCTGCACGCAAGTGTCTTTAATAAATAAAATATCCACTTTGATGACCTTTCTTGTTAAATATCTTTGTCACTCAATATGAGATTATGCCTTATTGAGTTACTAAGAGGTGAAGTGGGCATGCTACTGAAAATGTGCTGATGAAATAAAATTTAAGATGTTTTTTCTGGTTGGTCCATAAGCCACTAAGAACTTAGATTTTATGCATTTCATTTGTTTCACTGTGAATGTTTTCATCAGTTTGAGTATTAATTTGGGTTTTTACAAAACATAGTTGGAGCTAAAATATTTTTCCCGGGTATGGCTATAAATAATAAATTATCAATGGAATGCTTATTTATAAAGATTATATAAATATTTTAAGCATCTCCTTCTTGACTATAAAACTGTAGTAATCTTTATTTCTAACAAATGGAAAATGAGAGGAAAAAGGACAAGAACCTTGAGAAGTACAGGTTTGTATAGTAATTTTATAATAGGTATTTAGAGTTTATCTCTGTTCAGTCTAAAACTAATAAATTTTTAAAAATTGAACTATACTTAATTTACAGTGTTTCACATGTACAGCAAAGTGATTCAGTTTTGTATGTGTACATATATTTATTCTTTTTCAGATTCTTTTGCATGATTTTAGAGAAATTTTAAGCTTGCATTAATGTCGCGTTCTTTGTCCTCTGTGATCTCTTAATCTAAGAACAGTTCTCCATATTGTTTTGCATGGCATTTATCACAGCTTGTAGCTGTATGCTTATGTAATCATCTGTCCTCATATTTGAACAGCCTGTACTTGCTTTGTTATTGTATCCTTAGTGCCTGGCCCCTGGTAGGCACACAAGTTGTTTTTCTTGCATGTATCTCACAAGCAGATTATAGTTTTGTGCATCTCTAGCTAGTCTTTCCTGCCAGTAGCAGTGCTTTGATATAAATCTGTTAGTATATTAGTCTATTTTTCTTCCCTTTGAGGTTTTTTGTTAAAAAAGAAAAGAACTTTGAAGCCACAGGAAATCCATATTTAAAATGTAGTTACCTAAGGACTGCATACTTATTATTTCTGTTGTACAGAATTTGGTGTGGGGTATTACTTATAAATCCTAGGCTCAGTGCGTTCTAATTTTGTAATCATTTAAATATCAAGGCTCAATTTTAGCGTCTTATCAATTGGTGGTTTGCCAAATTTATATCATTGGTATTCTGGGTCCATTTCCCAGTCCTGGTTACTTGTGTGTCCCACTGTCTGTTAGTGATCATTAACCCCTTATGGGGGCTTCAGTGGTGGCACTAGAAGTAAAGAACCCGCCTTCTAATGCAGGAGACCTAAGAGATGTGGGTTCGATCACTGGATTGGGAAGATCACCTGTAGCAGGACACGGCAACCCATTCCAGGTTCTTGCCTGGAAAATCCCGTGGTCAGAGGAACCTGGCAGGGTAGTCCATAAGGTTGCAGAGTCTGATATGACTGAAGCGACTTGGCACACACAGCCCCTTGTATGTAGAAGTATAATTTGCATTCAGAACTGAGCTCCTCATCTTTCTTACACCTTTTGCTATGAAATCTCTTCCTCTAGGAGTCTTTGTCTGTCTTTTAGTTATTGGTATCTCTGTCGTACACTTGCTCAGGGCATGAAATCCTTGATACTTATTCTTGATTTTGATTTTTTTTTTTCTCGTACCACACCCCATCCACAACAGATTGGTCTGAACTCTTTCATTATGTACAAAACCTTACCAATTCTCTACTACTTTGCTAGTACTTTGGCACAAACCATCAGCAGCCCTTGCCTCTCTATAGAACAGTTATTCAATATTCCTACTCTTCAGCCTGTCATCAGTTGAGCAGCCAGATTAACCCTTTTAAAGGGCATGCCGGATCACATCAGTCCTCTGCTCCAGACTTTCCATGGACTTCCCATTTTGCCCACAATGAAAACCAGACGTTTACAGTGATTTGTGAGCTCTGTGCATGTTCTGGTGCTAGATTATCTTCTTGAGCTCACCTCTCACTATACAGCCTTTGCTTGCTTGGCTTCAGTCATACCAGCCAGTTTGCTGTTTGAGCACAAGAGGCCCATTTCAGAGACATCGCCTCTGCTGAGAACACTCTTCAGACGTCTTCATGCCTCTTTCCCTCACTTCCTGTAAGTGTCTGCTCACATAGCACCTTCACAGCTGCGTTTAAAATGGAAACTCTTCTCACCCCTTTAGTGCTGTCTGTCTTTCATCTCTCTGCCTTATTTTTTCTCTGTGGTACATATTACCATGTGATGGACTGCATATTTGGTTTTATTTATATGCATGCCTATTTTTATCCCCACTGGAACATATGTTCTTGAAGGCAAGATTTTTGTCTGCTTTAATCAATACTATGTTCTCACCAATTGCAGCAATACTTAACACATAACAAGTGTTCAGTAAACTTTTGTTGCATGCATGAATACATTTAAGAAGAAAACAATCAGGAAAGAATAAAAAATTCAGAATCTACATTTATGTAATTTTATTTTCATGGCAAAAGTCCTAATGTAACACTGATGATAAACTTTAAACATTTTAAAATCAATTTCTACCAAGTCTTATAAGAGTGGAAACAACATTTTTAGTGAATATGAAAAATTAAATTAATTACCACTAAATACTTCAGAAAAAGATGGCATTATATGAGATGGTTTTCTTTAAGTAGTCATCAGGAATTAGACTTGACTTTTCTATCCGTAGTCTTTAATACAGTATACCATGCTGAGTTTAGTTAACTTCTCTAAGAGCTTCTTAGTTATATCTAGTATCCTAGATATAAATTGCCTTTCCAAAATGGCTACTAAGGTCTACTAATAGACTTTTATCACAATAAAAGGCCATAACTTACACAAGGAATGATCAGAAAGTTAGTCTTTTTTCATTGTGAGTTATATGTTCTTGCTTTCCTCCAGGACAACATTTTTATCTCAATAATAAAATTTATATTTTAAAATTTCATTACTGATTTTTAAAAATATTTGTAAAATGAGTATATCATATGACTGGCGACTAAATGGTAACCCAGAACAGAATAGAATTATTAGCTCCGAGAGAAGTTATTTGAAATTTTGTCATACATTTTCCCACATTGGCATAATTTTTGTATATTCAGGATCCAAGATTGCAGTATACAACTTTAGTTATTACTCATCATGGTACAGTGACTCTGTCCAGTACTAACCGACTACATGAAATTGTGTTTTCCTAGTTGCTTTTGATGTGGGTTTTTTCTCCTGATCCCTCTTACTTCTCTGAGAATAGAGAAGCAAATTTTCATGTATCACTTAAGTTCCCTCATGCCTTAAAAAAATCAAAGTATATTCCTGTGCAGATCTTTAATTTCAAATCAAATTGATTTGATCCACACATATTAAGCACACTTAACTTAGCAGTCCTTAAATTTTAATGTTTATAGATTTTGTTTATTTAACAATTTATATGGTCTGAAAGAAGAAGGAACCAATTCATTCCATTTTTAACATAGTAATTATTAGGCTAAAACATGCTTATAGCTACAGAGGTTTTGCTCGACTATTTGTTTTCCTATTTGGCAGGACTCAATTCGTTTGAAAAGGGAAAATTGAGAAGTTGGATTTGGAGAACTCAGAATCTACTAGTTTATTACATTTGTTATATATTTATTTACCACATTTAGCAAAGAATATTAAAAAAACTGCATTAATACAGACTGCTGTTGGGAAGGGTTTCTAAATCTTGATAAATAAGTAGCTGTTAGATGCCTCATTTCACAAATAGGACTCTCACCGTAATTATCTTGGAGTAGAGCAAAATTGGAAAGCGGGAATAAATGTCTCATGTGAATCATCATATGTCTGTCTGTTGCTTAAGATACAAAATGTAAAGTTTAGTGAAAGTCCCTTTTTCATGGAATTTATTGACAGTGAGGCTATTTTGTTTTTTCTTTTTTTTCTAATAGTTGAGGAGGAGATGGTAGGTTAAAAAAAAATTCTAGAACCACTGACTTAAGATTTTTAAATAGATTTTTTTTTTGGGGGGGTTACTGTTTTTTTTGTAGTTGGATTTTCTGAAAGCTGTATTTTGTTAAATCTCAGTTAAATAAACAGTAGATATCCATTTGTGTTTACATAAAGAACATCACAAGTAGAAATAAATGGTGATTTCTTAAAGAATGCTTTATAAAAATGTACAGTTATGTATCTTATGTTTGGTGAGAACTCAGGTGTACTATTCTGAGAAAAATATTTCATTAAGAGCTGTCACAAACTTAGAATTTTAAATCATTAATTAGGTAATTTGTGTTTTTGTTTAAACATGCTGATGCCCGTTTATTATAATACTTTTTTCTTTGGTAATCATTATAAAGACAACATTGAATACATAAAACTTTTCCATTAGTCCTCCTCAGAAAATACATGAGTTATCTTATAAATGATTAATTTTTAATATCCTGGTTCTGTGAGGTTGGATTGGATTATATGAGGCTTTACTACTTTTATAGTGGAAATGATTCTACTGTTCCACAATTTTAAGATTGAATTTATTCAGCTAGTGATTATGTTCTCACAAATTAAAACTTCTTTGATTCACTTACATATACTATGATAAATAATATTCAACTTCAAGGTACTTGACTGGATTGCCT